TATACTCTTGGAAGTCAAGCTTCCTCTGTGCAAGGTGCCGTGTGACCCGTCACACATAGCAGGAACATTGAGATGCAGATAGAGGAGAGTAACTCCAGGCGCAGTGAATGCATGTGAAGCGGTCACTTTGCGCAGTAGTCACTTTGCGCAGTGTGTTAAAAAGATAAAATGAACGTGAGCCCTTATCGGGTCAACACTCGTAACGGGGCAAGTATCATAATCTTGCATACCTTTTCTCTACACGTTTTGTACAATTGTACGAAATTTACATTGCACTGATGTGATATTCACAAGCACTGAAAATAGGTATTTTCGCCGTGGTACATGCGGGCTGTGAGCAATACATCAGAAAATAAAGCGAGTTTTATATTCAACGCATATATAGTCTAGCCGAGCTAACTAAACGTTGTGTTACGGTAGAGGGAGCGCACGATCCGAACCGTTGTGCTTCGTTGAACGCGGACTCTGAGAATCAAAGTTTCCCTTGTGCAATGTGTACGGTGACCCTACTCCACCGAGATGTGGAATAATTTATCCATCTTTGCAGTAGGGTTTAAACAACCTTCCTTCGTGATCATTCTTCTGATGTACCCGTCTTTGTACTCGTACTGCTAGCGTGTTCCACCAAATTATTTGATTGATGGCGATTTGGCAGCTGTTGCAGCAAATCCGTGCGTGTTGGGCGCCCACCGCGCAGCATTTGAGCAGCCCAGCGACCAATTTTGCGTCGGCGCTGGTATTTTGTGGACACGATGTTAAGAATTGATTTATCCCATTATGTAAGTTGACGTACATGAATGTAGACGGTCGCACTTCCCCAACTCATAGTCAAGCTAGCGCTTTTTACAACCTCAAAAAGACCTGTCTTAAGCACGTGCGTTGTGGAGATGAAAAACGCGCCCTGTTTGAGCTTCTCTGCTGCGACTGAAATTTTGATCCAATCCCTAAATGAATGATGCACACAATGTACCAATTATCGCTCTACACAGCTCCATCCTCATCTAGAGCAGCACAAATTTCAATCGTACTGATCGCTGAAACAGGTACCGTGACAAAATACAACATCGCCATCTTCCCAATTGGTTGTGAGTACACTGCCTGCGATAAAGTCGATGTCCGTCTTGAGTAATGGAGACTTGAGTTTTTCTAAGGCCATTTTTCGCTTTTCAGCACAACGTACAAGCGGCTGCGAAAATGATATGTAACTGCGTGTGGGCTAGCGGGCAGTAAGAATCAATACTTACTTACCTCGAGCAGCTCGATTCCGATGGCCTGATCAAATGAATGCACCAAACTCGCTGCAATAACTGCCTTACCAGTGCCGGAACCCTATGCAAACGTCGTAATTAAGAAAGGCGTTTTCGTGTGGTATACGGCGCAGAAAATTACCAGGTCGTAAAAAATGGCAAATTCTGGCAGACTGGGAGCTATCCATCGAATGACTCCGGCAAACGAAAAAAAATTGATCTCTCCATACACCTACATTTTATATGTAAATGTTGACTCACGCACTTTATCTCATAGATGACTCACGTAAGAGGACTTGATAAGGCTGGAGCTTTTACGTGCTTCACTTGACAGCTCTTTCCCATACTTAGAAAAAACGTGTACATATCAATAGAATATAACAAGAATCATTAAAATGCGGGTGAATAACCTCTACGCTGAAATTGCGATAGATACGGTCATAAACCGTAAAAGGCTTCTCGTAAATGATCCCCAGCACAAAATCAGACACTTTTAGCTCCGCGATTTCTTCACGGGCAACCTAATGCATAAACACAAAATTAGTGTCTTATTATATTCGCAGACAAGGATATAAACTCGCACATCTGGTACGAGGTACTTCATCTCCTGCAAAGCATCGCTTTTACGAAGCCTGTTCATCCCCTCCTCCGAGTAAAGTAATGTTTCTACGTGGTCACAAACCTCAAGCGCTAGATTTTCAGCCTAAGTCGTAACAATCAAGGAATACGATACGATAAATCTGACGTTAGCTTCAGAGTAGCCAGAACCATAAGTTAATACACAAGCTGACCACACAACCTCCTTCCACGATTCATTGGTTGGCTCGTAGTCACGCAATCGGTGGGCCACAACCTTGAGCTCCGCTATTGCTGTCTGTAGCTTGGTAGTCATTAGTGATTTGCGATGAAAAAGTGAATGTATCATTTTCTGAGATTTTTCAATACAATTTAAACTGTGATAAAGGACTTTAAAACAAATCCTTCTATATGGGATATATTCTAAGCGTCTGGACTTGTGATAGCCTTGAGACTGTCCTGTAGTTTGGCGGTGTAGCGATTAAGCGCCTCCACAATTTCATCATCTTCGCGTTCCCGAGCCTAGAAAAAGCCAAATTAGTATAACATAATAATTTTGACGAAATTGTCGCACCTGAGCTTCTGAGACCAACGCATTTTGAATTTTTGCGACTTCCCTCTGCATGAAAGCGTTAAACCTTTCGTCTCCACGTGTCCGAGTAGAAGTGTAAGTGTCTAGTGCAATTTTTAAATCAGAGTACTGTTTTTCGCGATCGTGCTTGAATGCAAAATACAACCACAATTAGCATCTTCGACATTCGATATTAAATGTGCATTAAGCCTGGTCACCCTTTCACTCTCCAAACGTTTTGCTGTCACATGCTCGTGATCATCCAAGCGCTTCAAAATAATTGTTTCCTGAGTTGCGATTCGTTGCCGCTCGACCTCAAATGAATCCATAAATACCGCAAGCTTTTTCGTAAGTTCATTTGATTTGTTTTCGATCGTGACTGGGATTTCTTGTTTCTCTTTAGCCACAAGCGCCTGAAGGCTATTTATTTCTTGAGTAAGAATGCCGAGTCGATCGTGAACTTGCTTTGCGCGATCATTGAGCAAACTTTGAAACAATTTTGTCATCTGCGCTAATTGCTCGTCACAGTAGTTCTGCAGCGACTTGGTCATCTCAATCCGCTTTTTGATCTCTGCCTCAAGTTTCTGTTCTAGACGATTCATTTCTAGTCGCATTTCTGCTAGCCGATTTTCATTTTTTTCTCGTCGTTGCTATATTAATATGCGCGTAAAGCGATACAGAAATCCTTTTAAAATTCCAACGAGAGACTCTCTCAAACAAAACTTACTCGTGTTCCGATGCGCATAGCGTCATCAAAAGTTGTAAAGCTGCCCATAAGTCCGTCAAGTTTGCTCCGTGTCGCAGTCATATCGATCTGTTTTACAGCAAAATTATCTTCCTTCTCCATTTTCTTGTAGTCGAACGCAATTTGGACTGTTATGGAACCCCCAAACCAATCAGTTAATGTCACTGAGGATGCGTAGAATTATTGCGACCATTCATCGCAAGATCCAAGTCGTACAGTAGCGCGAATGGATCATTTACATGGTAGTATCACATTTGCAAAGGTACACTATATTCAACCTTTACTAAACTTGTTGTGTCATATAGCATATTTGTCCTTCCGAGTGACGAAGTCTAATGTCATTGCTATCGCCCTCCTCGTCCTTAACCAGTAGAAATGGGTTAGGTGAACAAAGCTCCGTACGTGGGCAGTCAGTCCTGTTTGCTTATGAGAGTTTAAATTTTTGGCCTAATCAATAGGATCCAGCTACCATTCGCTTGGAGCGAGCGATGAAAGCTCATGCTACCATTCAGACTAGGACCACTCAACAAATGGTCAACAAAGCGCAATTGCCTGTCGACATCAACCCCAAGGATTCTTCAAGCGCAGAAAAACACGTTTTACCTAGTTCTGTTTTATCCCAATCTTCACCACTAGTTGAAGATCTAGCGACTCAATTTCAAAACTTGTGGCAGCATGAGATGGATCAACAGCAACAAAAGGGCAATAATAACCAATACAATGTGCTAGTGTTAAAAAAGGCGCTTGTGAAGATCGGTCCTCGCGAGAAAGATAGTCTACTACTTTATCTTCTGGAGCAGCAAGGCACGCTACGAACAAAGTGCAGCGAGGTCGCAACACTTGGAGAAGAAGTTGCTGCGCAACTAATCAATCAGCAGGTGGTATTGATACCAATATATCTATACGAGTATGCTAATTATTTTGTCAAACATTGTTGCAGCATGAGCTTCATCGAAAATTTCGCACAGAGATCAGCGAACTGATGAGTCAGCTTCATGATGCCTTATATTTTAATCCACAAGTTACCACCCTACAGGCGAAGGTCGAAGAGCTTGAGGAAAGCATTTGCTATTACGAATTACAACTTCGAATTGCGGTATGTGTCGAGCATGTTTGTTGGAACTTTTTGCGTGAATTGCGGTGAAGGAAGATATTTATGAATTGATGGGTCTTTAATGCGTAAAAGGTGCAGAAACTGCAGCGTAGTAGGAAACGAGTGAAGGAACTCAAGCACATGAACGATTGTAGGACTAATTGTAAGTTGTGCTGACGCAATTTGTTGCCTTGATGCCTACACAGTGACGTTATTTTTTCCTCATTTTCGAAAACTAAGAAGTTAAGAATTTGAATTACCACATTTGAGAAAAATGTTTACCACCAGAAATTGTACTTGGTGATAGGACACCACACCACTCATCTCCTTGGAAGTCAATAATCTGTAAAAATAGCATTCATGTAATAAAAGCTTGTTCAAATAACGATGACGTATCGAGGCAAGAAAGATGATGAGCAAGCGTTGAAGCAGCCATACAACCAGAACGAAGCCATAACAGCACAAATGGTCAGCATTGTCTCAGCGCGCCTTGGCTCGATTCAAACGACAGGTCTGGATATGCAAATATAGTGATGTGACTTTGACTAGTGGCACACTCATTGATTAAATTTTCGCTTGTGCTACAGCACGCAATCGTATGCACGGTCTCGAGTGCGACTTACGGGTCGATATGGATTACTGTACAAAGTTGGTTCCACCTTTTGTTGACATACTGGAAAATAGGGGAGCGACAGCAGCCAAAAGCCGAGTCATCTCGGCGACGACGCTCGCGAGTAACCAAGCGATGCTAGAACGACTTTTTGGCTCAGATGAGATTGCACAAACGGTGAGCTATGATCTACGGAGATAGTATGTACAATGTTAACTATCCAATTTATGCTTCTGCTTTGCAGCAGGTACTTCAGAAAAAGAAGATGGATTTGTACAAAAGCGAATATAGGCGCAACGCGCGCAGTCTAGTTGAGAAGCAACTGCAAGCCGGCATTGAAAGCTACATCACACGTACGGTAGAAAGCTTTACTTATGGGATCAATGATGACAAAGATGAAGGAAGTACGACGAGTAACAGGGGCATCATCAACTTGAACACTTACCTGCTTCTGACATACACATATGAGCGAATTCACATCAACTTTTGGCGTTCAAGTTTTAAACGCTTTTTGTTGTCCGAAGTGTCAGTAGCTCTTTTTGAAGACGTTTTCTGGCTAGTATTCTGTCAGTTCTATCAGAAAGACTCGTGGGCGCAACAGAGAGCGCTTGCAGATGCAATAAGCGCGAAACATGTTAAAATGATTACTGCAATGCCGCGGAAAACCATGGATATTTTGCTCTGTATTTACCCGTACGCCATTGCTAGTAGTATATGCTCTGGATTCTATTACTTCTTTCCGGGCTCACGTCATCTATACACTCTCAATTTCAAAAATGGTGTTTTCCTGTTCGTGTGCCAACTGCTCCTTGGACTTAAGATAAACCTAGCGTCAGTGCAGTCTATGAGACGACACTACTTCCCAGAAGAAATAATAGATGATCTCGGCACAAGAACAAGGCCAATGGCGAAGTTAGCAGCATCGGCGTCAACAGGAGCGATCTTCATTAAAACAGCATTAGGGGCTAGGACTAGTAGGTACGGTGAGGGTGATGAAGATCTAAATTTGCAACAGCTTTTATCGCCGCAGGCCTCTAAATATCTCGTCGGGTCTGCGACCGAGTCTTCACTAGTAATTGAAGCTGCTCCTCTGGATCTCGAAGTTGCAAAGAGCCAGGAGGAATGGGTTCACCACACCAATTTCGACATGGACGAATCTGGCACTTCGCACCACGTTCGGCGTCATCAGCAGCGTACTCTTTTTAACACAACTCAATTAAGCCCTCTCATGAAGCAGTACTTTCGTTCGCCAACAAAACATGTAACTAAGGCCAATTTTGTGCATCGCACTACACCATCAGCAGACTGTGTGGTAGGTGGTGAAGACACCTTTCAAATGTCGTACGTGTATACATGATACGAAGATCTCATCGTGAATCTTTCAAGATAATTTTTGATTTTTTTTTAATGTAGCTACCAACGGAAACTGCAGAAAGGCTATGCAGCTGAAGCCTGGCGCCAACACAAAATCCACATCAAAGAGATTCAGAAAGAGCAGAAAGATACCGCACGCGAAATAGCTCTGCTGCATGAAACACGAGGGTCAGTGCTCAGCAGTGGAAAAAAAGGATTGCAGGCGTATTGCACCGCACTTATGAGTCGTCAGCGGAAACTACCCTCGAAACATACGGTACTACAGTTAGATAATTGAATGTAGCTGATTTCATTCCCTCTGCATGCAAATCTAATCTGCGCCTTCGCAACCGCAAATCAAAGTTGTTCTCGTGTAGCTTCAAGCCTAATCATCAGCTAGCAGCCCAGCACACGACAAGCGCAGAGTTCGCACTCTGTCTAGCAGCACTAAGAAAGCAACGTTACAGGGAAAATCTGCAGCGGGGCTTCGCTTAGAGGAAGCCTGGTGAAGGCCGGTGACCTTCGTTCGACACTTAGACGCAATCCACTTACTCCAAGAGTAATTACCACCTCAACCTAAGGCTAAATATTTCCTCCGTTTAATACGTAAACTGTATTTCTAGGTCTGAACCGCCTTCACCTAAATCTATAGGCTTTCCTATATATAGAAAACCTGATTAAATGTTTGGCAGTCCAACCACAAACTGACTTCTTGTTATATCTTATCCATACCATTGTGTGGTCACACCATCTTGTGCGAACCACACACTTCACACCAGGGTACGTAAAATCCCGTTACATCCCCTCCATCAAGATTGTGAACACCTACAGTTCACATTCAACTGTCACCTCTAATGAGGCTCGCGTGTCTAAAGTCACCACAACATCACCAGGACCTTTTTCACCAATTCGTTGCTCAATGAGCCCTGTTTCGAGGACACGGAAAACACCGTGTCCTC